AGGAGCAAAGACGCCTCCTCGAGTTCCCGTTTTGCAATCCCTGGTGCCGGGGCATTCTCCCCGATCAAGTTGTCAACTGTGCGGTAGCGGACAGGGGTGTTGGAGTGCGCCGCGTCGATCCTCTCCTCGTCGTGTGAGGGAGGTGACACGAACTCTGTTGGGGCAACGCTAGGACTTGGTGCTGGTGTGGCAGGGGTTGCTGGTGAAGTCTCTTGTAGTGGCGTTGGGGATGCTGATGGGGTCACCACGCCTCCCCCCACACTAGGGATAGGATGCCCAGTGGTCTTCTCAACATGGTACTCGATGGCGAAATCGCTGCTCGGTCGAGCATCTATGCCGCTTGCTGCCGTCCAGTCCCACCCACGGCTCTCGTCAAAGATGACATCACGGGCGAGACGTACACGCCGTGTCCTTGGATCCAGGACACGATATGCCTTCACCCCTTCTTCATAGCCAATGAAGACGCCGGGTGTGCTGCGGTCGTCGAGCTTGCGCACATCGTTTAGCTCCTTCACGTACGCCAGGCACCCGAAGGTACGTAGGAAGCTGACCATCGGCTTCTTGCCGTGCCAAGCTTCATACGGCGTCTTGCCAGTGAGGCTTTTGGTTGGTGCACGATTGAGGAGGAAGACAGCCGTGCTGACAGCCTCCCCCCAAAACTCCGCAGGCATTCCCCTCTGTTTGAGAAGGGCGCGCGCCATGGACACCACTGTCTGATTCCGCCGCTCGACCACGCCATTTTGTTGTGGGGCGTAGGGCGCGGAGAAATGACGTTGGATACCCTCATCAGTGCAGTAGGTGGCGAACTCAAGCGACGTGAACTCGCCGCCGTTGTCCGTGCGAAATACACACAGCTTGCGCCCACAGTGAGTCTCGGCTGCCATCTGAATTTTCTTGATGGCGTCAGGTGCATTGCTCTTGGCTGCTAGGAGCGCCACCCACATGTATCGTGTGGCATCGTCGACCAGCAGCAAGAAGTAACGCCGGCCACTTGGCGTTGCCGGCGTGATAGGGCCACAGATGTCGCCATGGACGAGATCTAGCGGCTCCTGAGCGCGGTACTTGGCTGCCTTTGGAAAGGCAGCGCGCCGATGCTTGGTGATGACACACGTGTCGCAAAGCTGCTCGACATGCTCCAGTCGAGGCAGGCCACGCACGAGCTCTTGTCGGCCCATCTTCTCTAGCGAGCCGAAGTGGATGTGCCCGAAGCGCTCGTGCCAGCGCCAGGCAACATCATCGTGTCGCGTAGCCAAGCAAATCGGCCTAGCAACCTCGAGGCGGAGGACGTATAGACGGCTTCGTCCCCGCTTGATCTTGGCAAGAAGACGGCGGCGGCGGCGGCGGTCCCAGATACGCATGATGCCGTCCTCGACCAGCACACGCGTCCCGCTTTCATCAAGCTGACCGATGCTGATGATTGAGCTCTTGAGGCGCGGAATGTAGTAGACGCCACTGAGAACCTTGTGCTCGCCATTCTTGCCGGTGAAGATGACGTTACCGGCACCCTTGATGTCTACGATGGAGCTGTCTCCAAATTTGACGGTGCCGGTGATGCTTCGATCGAGCTCAGCAAAGACGTCACCACGGCCCGTCATGTGGTTGGTGGCTCCTGTGTCAAGGTACCACGCCTCCTTGTCCTCAGCGTCCGTGGCTCCTAGGCTCACCTGCACTCGCGGTTCAACGAGGGAGACAGGAGATGGCGCGATGATGGGGCCATCATTGAGCTCGCAAGCGTGGGCCATCAACAAAGTGGCATCGTCATCTTCAAGCTCGCATGCCCGCGAAAGCAGCAGGACGTCGTCATCGTCATCACCTTGGGCTAGGTGAGCGGCTTCTTTCTTGGGCTGGCGACAGTCCTTGGCCCAATGGCCAAGACGGCCACAATTGTGGCATCTGTTTGGTGCCGTGTCCCGATTGGTGTTCCCTTTCTCGCCTCCTACGCCGCCACCAAAACCTCTTTTCTTGCGATGGGAGCGAGGTCGCTGACGAGCTCCACCTTGCGACTGCTTGGAGGATCGCTCCCCTTTTTGTCGCTCCTTCTGCCGTGCGAGCCACTGCTCCTCCGTGAGGAGAAGCTGGCCTCCGGCTGGAGTAGTCGTCGACGTTGGAGCTGGTCGCCGTTCCTCCGCCACCTTGAGACGCCCAGTGACGTCCTCGATGGTGAGTGTCGAGAGATCCAACAGGGTCTCAATCGACACAGCGATTTGGGAAAATCGCTCTGGGACGACGCGCAAGAACTTCTCGATGACGTTCTGCTCCTCGATTCGTTCTCCTAATGTCCCAAGCTGAGACACTAGGCTTGTGAGCCGTAGGGCGAAGTCGTCGATCGATTCACCATCATGGAACGAGATGGATTCATACTCCCGGTGCAGCTGTTGCGCCTTCGCCTTCCTCACGCGGTCCACGCCGACGCGCATCACTTTGATGGCATCCCAGGCGTCCTTCGCGGAGTCCTTGGTGGCGAGCAGCGAGATCATCTCGCTGGGGACAGCGCGTAGGATGGCCTCCATTGCCATCCTGTCTTCTTGCTCATCGCATTCACCATGCTCCACCGCGTCCCAAAGGCCACGGGCTTGCAGCATCACCTTCATCAGCAGCGACCACTCGGTGTAGTTGGTTCGCGTGAGGGTGGGGAAAGCAGCAGCGCCGCCAACCTCCCTGACAGTCCGCTGCACAACAACCTCTCGAACAGCAGCGCCTCGACCTCGTCCTCGCCGTGGTGTTGGCGATAACGAGTGATGGCGGCCGCGGTGTTGTGGCGACCTGGAAGCATTGGCTCCAGCAGCTGGTACTCCCTCCATCTCTCTCACACTTCTTTAACCTGAGCTCTGATACCAATTGTTGGTAGGATCACTTCTGAACTACACTCAATAGTCTAGCTGAAACTGAAACTGAAAATGAGCTGAAAAAGCTTACTTATGTTAGCACAATAGCTATATTTATAGTACATGGATAGGTCGGTTGCTGAACCGACAATACTGCTGCTGCTATGTTCCTGCTAGAGGTAAAATAAAAATTGACTACTACCACTAATAGCAGCAGTCTGACAACCGAGTAACAGCTGCAGCCTATAGCTTACTGTCTAAGGAAACCAAATAACTAACTAGAACAAGGATTATACTAACAGTTATTACATACGCTTGAGACTGAGTTGTGATACAGGAGAAATGAGCTCTCACTTCTCCTATGAGTTGGCCAGCTCTTTTTTTTTTTTTAGCCGGGCCGGAGTTGGCCAGCTCTCCTTGGATACATTCCTTTTTTTCTCTTCATATCAATCAACACGGAAGAAATTTGTACAATGATCCTTAAAGAACTTAAGGGTATACATTAGCGTACCATTTTGTGCTATTGTGGGCACGAAACAGTCAGAGCACAACATACATACCAACTAGATCCAGTAGATGTATTTTGTAGTCATTTGAAGTTTAAAACTGCTGTAGGCTTGTAGCAATTCATCAGGTTCTTCAAAATATGCAACCTGATTCTTATACGATGTTATTATTTACCTAATAGGATGCCCTGCCAATGAAGGGCTGTTTGTATGAAGTATGAGCGTTTGGATGCAGGTTGATATATACCCACTTTATTTCCACTTTATTGGTATGTACCTTCTCCGTCCCAAAAAGATTCAAATCCTAGCTATGTTTTAATTAGTTGATTTATTTTAGTTGGTTTATTTTGGGACGGAGGGTGTATGTCATTTTGGAGTAAGCTGTTATTGATGTTAAGACTTAATTTGCTGTCAAATCATATAGTAGTAATAAACTATTCCACTTTATTTCCTCAAACCTACCTGCAAGTTTATAATAAACTACTCCCTCATATAGCTGTTATTGATGTTAAGACTTAATTTGCTGTCGAATCATATATATGTCTAGATTCATTAACATCAATATAAATGTGGGAAATGCTAGAATTACTTACATTGTGAAACGGTATATATGTCTAGATTCATTAACATCAATATGAATGTGGGAAATACTAGAATGACTTACATTGTGAAACGGAGGAAGTATTACACTTTATTTCCTCAGGCTTTATATTTTCGTGGCTCAGCGTCTCCAGAATCTGAGTGTGTTTTTTCTGCGTGCTTGCTGTTGTCAGTTGGGTGGTGGGTTTTGTTGATGATGGCTTGAGTTGCTAGCTCCTATTATTTGGCCCTGGTTTGCTTCACACATGTAGTGGAGGTTAGTAGCTCGTTTTAGTTTGTAGGGTCTTCAGGTGCTGGCAGTGTGAACTGTGGATGTTCTTGGCTCTTGTTTTGGAGGTTTAAGAACTGTAGAACTTCTCATTTCTGGTAATGGAAATGGGTGCTTCATGGTCTTGCAAATTTACTGCTCAATCCATGTTACCACGTTTTGCCTCTTTTTTCCCCCTTTTTTTCTTTTAACAAAAATTAGCTACTAGTAGCTGCTAATCTAGTACTAGTATCTAGTATATCTGAGACCAGCCTGAGCGTGTCTTGCCATCAGCTGAAGACGCCATGCAATGATGGCCGTCAGATCGTGCGTGGACGGTCCCAATTCAAGTAGCTTTCACGTGCCCGCGCCAATGTGGTGCAAAAATTTGAACTTCCCGCAAGAAGCCCAAGAAGGCCAGGTCCTGCGTGCTGAGCCCAAATCTATGGGCCTGAACGCGGCTGCGCCGTCTGGAATGGTAATGTGGCTCACATACGGCCCATATATATTGGGCCAAAACAGTATTATAGTTCATGTCCAGCCCATACATATTGGGCCCGAATAGTTATAGATGGCCCATGATGAGTTCCTACCCAAGCCCAACACTATCGCCAGAACCCAGAATGGACTTTCGAGCTCCCAGCTTGTCAGTTTCGCACTTTCACTCGTTCTTAAATTGCATTGAGTTCGCTTTGTGATCCCAATAAAAATACGAAAAGAACATGTACAAAATGGAGCACCATAATCCACAGATTGTGAGTGAAGCTCAACTGCCATCTTAACAAGGTTTGTTGAATATTTGAATATCAGACCATATCGACACCATGGCAACCAGCCTCTCTGAATTCTGAAGGCATCGAAACAGAGAAAAATGTAGACATTAACATAAATACATTTACAATCTCTCCAGAAGCAATTTAGAATGCAGGTTGGTAACTATGATACGGAGTAGCTAGTACAAACTGTTTTGACTATGTCACCACTATAGCCACACCTTTTCTATGAAGGAAGTTCCAACATAAATCAAAATGTAAAGATGAACATGTTACATTTACATCACTACATGACAAGAACTGTATTTGTGAGATTGCACTTGGACATAGTTTGATGCTCCTGTCCTATCCATTTTTATTGATTATGGCAGATGTTCCTAGAAAAAAAGACAAATATTACTTCCATCAGAAACAGTCTCAACTCTCAACTCTCAACTCCCAAGCACGTTTTGGTTGCTACAGAAGACAACATCAACAATAATATGTAGAAATTAGGCCATACCTGTATAGTTGGGCCAGTGTACGTGCCAGGGCGCATATTAATATTCACCGGTACGATTAAGGCCTCAAGCCAAGCATAATTATCTGGCCCATGGACTACTTTTGCTTGTCCAGCTGCTGCAGTTGGAGTGATCCGTGAGAAAATCAGATATGACATAGAATAGTGAATATGAACACTTTTGAGTTTTGACAACATATCAACAAATTAAATTTTCTTCTCATATAAATGAACATAATGTACAAGGTGATTGCTGTTCCTGACAGAAAAGGACTGAACAGCACTGTGACTAATAATATATGTTTTGAACAAATACCAGAGATGGCTGGTATTCTGCTTCCACCAAAATGGTGGATTTAGTTAAACATGAATCTGACACAAACATGTAATATGATGACAGTGAGGGATTTCACTTACAGAAGCTAGAAAATGGATAATCGTGAAAATAGGTGCAAACACGGCCAGAAGATTCAGAGTATGGTGGGGCAATGACATCAAGAACAGCACATGATTTTACTGAAGTGAAGCAGTGCATGTTCCCACCACTTTGGGGATACAAAACAGCAGTTGGACAAGGGGCATTCAGAACATCATCCGTATGTAACTTTCCAAGTTTCACTGCACATCAGGAGAAAGAAAAAAAATCCTTAATATACCAGAACCCGAAAAATCATCAAGGCATAGAAATGAGCAATCTAAAATGATGCCTGAGCAACAGTGCAACACTAGTGACCAATAGGGTTGGGTAGTATCAATACTATTACTATGCTACAACCAATATTGTTCATTAACTTGGTACTGTAGAAACCATCTGAAGAAATAAATGTTTTCAGTACACTTGTATTCTCAGAGACAACGAGTTCATTAAGTCATCACTCTGCAATGCAATATATACTAGTAGATAAATAAAAACAAATATTTGAAACAGGGTATGAAAAATAACCTGGCTTGCCATTTGCTAGAACAGCAGGCTCTACCCAATCATACGATTTGACATGCATCGAACCATAGAGTAATTTGCTCAACACAGTCATTCCCGGATGATCATGGAGAGGAATAACCGCCGATGTTGGTAAGCAGAATATTCCAATCTACAGAACAAACACGAAGCAATTGCAGATTAGCAGAGAAGATATCCAATTATTCATTAACTTCTAGTAGTATTCTCTGTCACAGAAGTGTTACAAGAAGATGACCAAATTGAACATTTGAACATCCACATACAGAGAAGGCGTCACACTCGTAGACATGCAGGTAGGTTATGGGTTGCGCCCATCTAGCAACCCTTGCTGAATTCTTCAAGAAGTTTGATTCAAAGAACCCAAATCCTCTTCCATCCTCAAGATTATCATCTCTGAGTCCAACATCCACAGGAGTGATTGTATCTGAACACAAAACTCACATCCAATTCCTCAATACATCAGCATACGAACGATTTTGCAGAGGAAAGAGCAATCAATTGGCTGTCCGAACTCTGAACACAAGAACAAAACAAAAATTGGGCCGAGGTCGGGAGGAAGAGGAGTTGGTGGAGGTCAGGTGACCTACCCATGAGAGAGGAGATGGCGCCGATGGCGTGGTCGGGAGGTGGAGACGACGGCGAGGAGGACGCGGCGACGGAGGACGGCGACGGGAAGGTGCGCTTGCAGAGCTCGTACAGCGCCTGCACCCGCGACGGCGTCGACGTCGCCGGCGGCCGCGTCGGTATGCCCCACCCCATTGAGGCCGTCGACGACCTAGATGTCCCCCTCTCCCACTCTTCTAGCTTGCTCCCTTCTCGCCTTCTTCCTCCTCTTCTCCCTCCTCGCGTGGTCGCTGGAGAGGAGCAGCGCCGCCGCGGCGAGCGGTGTCGCGACGCGAGGGCTCAGGCGGCGCGTGGCGTACTGTCTCGTCTCTTCCAGCGCGAGGATTAGGTTGCTGTTCGTGGGCCGTGTGGGCCCAATATGGGCCTTAGTTGTATTAGTAGTATTTACTAGTGGGCTTTGAGTTTAAACTTTTTTTTAGTTTTTCTTTTGTATACTAGAAATTGACTGGAATTCTGAGCTCCTTCAAGCTTTCCATCACAGAGCTACATAATTTTGTTCCTAATTTTATGGCAGCTACAGAAGATTAATTTGCCATTCGATTCTACTTGTTCACATACTGGTCCGGACATTTTGTTGCCACTTTCACTAAATTTATATTATGAACCTAAAAAATTATAGCTGATGCATTGTGTTCTCGGCTTCTCGCAGAAATCTTGGTCAACACCACCATCGTCTCTAATCTTTAAATGTAACTCTATTCTGTCTAGTGCACCAAGTACTCGATTATTAGGTCCTGTCAAAGTTAATGGTTCCTCCTGTAAATAGATTAGGGAAAATCATGTCAGAAATGCCCACAAAAAAACACCAAGCTCGACAAGTCCAATACAATTAAGACAATGCCAACTGTATGTTAAGAGAAATTCCGGTACTTCCTCTGGTCATAACGCAGTTGACTTTGACAACAAAATTTGATAATTTGTCTTATTAAAAAAAGTACACTAATTTTTTTATGACTTATTTTATTGTTAAAGGTACTTTAAACATGATATTTTTGCATATTTTTACACTAAACTTTTAAATATGATAAATGATCAAGCTTTATGATCAAAATCAACTGCATTAAATATTTATAACTGGAGGGGGCACATACTACGTACATATAATAATTTTAGGTATTTTACCATCAAAGTTGGGTTTGCATAAATAGTAAATACAACTCAACTAAAATGGATCCAAGCGAGTAAAGTAGCATTATTGTGCATTATTGTTCTTTTCTTCAAATGAGAGAACATTATTGTGCATCTGCACATCAGACTGTCTCACTAATTAAGAACAATGTAGCCAACAAAAGAGGATTGTTAATTAAGGGGGCAAACAGAATGTAACGGATTGGTGTACTTCGAGACAGATACAATCTTTTTGTGGCATAACACTGTCATCAAGCCATGGCTTCTGAATTAAGCTCTAGACCCTACTGAAACCAGAAAATTACCAACACAATAATTCCCTAGATCTTAATTGGCAAGCATGGCATTCATAATCACACATATTGATCACGCATAAAAACACACAATAAAGTTAATTACCAGCGTAGAGAATTAAGTTACCTGTAATAATATTCATCAGGCTAGATACCTGCAAATCTCGCTGGTGCATAAGGTGACCATGATAGCCAAGTTCTTCGGTCGAACATCAAGCTTTGCTAATCCTTGAAGCATGCCCTTCCTCACATCAACAGCAAACACAACTTCCAACCTATCCGTTTTCATGGGGCTAGTTATAGAAAGCAAGAAAATCACATCTTCATCCATGCTTAATTATGGTGGGGTTTCCAATTGGAAGTTTTTTGAATATTGTTTCAATTGTCTCTCTGTTTTCGTCGTCGTCGCTGCAGCTCAGATTAGAACGACAGCTGTCGCTTAAGCTGATGTGTTTAATTATCATCGATTTCACAGTCAATCTGCCAATCATCATCACAGCAGCACGAAGAAGAACAATTCACCGGCATTGGCATGCTATATGTTGTAGCCTTCCATCCACGATCGATTTCTTTGAATTTCTTCGGTTTATTGAGATCGCGCACCCAATCCACGTAAGAAACTGGGGTAGGATTATTATTCATTGGCTCTGTTCGTGACCAGATTTCCATCTCAACATACTTGTCTGTTTCGAGACACGGTGACGTCGCGGAAATAGCTACTTCCTCCGTTTCATATTATAAGACTTTCTAGCATTGCCCATATTCATTAGCATTTATATGAATGTGGACAATACTAGAAAGTCTTATAGTATGAAACGGAGGGAGTAGGATCGAATTGGTAGAGGAAGTTATTCCAATTCCCCTTCGCCGGCGCCGTCAGCGGGATGTCCCAGAGCACGGGGAGCTCGTCGACGAGGAAGACGCCGCGCCAGAGAGATCATAAACGCGACGGTGCCGGCCTCGCCGCCGACGGCGATGGTCTCTTGCCGGTCTCGTGGTACAGCCTGTCGACGGATTTGGGTAGAGGGATAGCCTTGTCTCTGACGAACTCCTTTAGACATAACCGCTTGGTGATCCACCCGTTGGAATGGGAGGTGGATTTGTAGAGGTGGAGGTCGAATTCCCAGCTGACGAGCTCGCCGCCGGTAGCGTGCACCGGTGGCCGGAGATCGAGGGTGGAGACGGTGTACCACGTGCCGCCGTCGAGGTGTCGTGGAGGCTGTAAAGTCTGCCTATGGCTTGTTTGGTACCTTGAGGGAAGAGGATTGAGAGTTTACACCAGAGAATTGATGATAATATTAAGCCGATTCATGCCCGGTCCAACTTATTTATTCCCACTGTTTCGTATTGCAAGACACTTTAAATTCTTTTCAAGCATCTATTATTTTTAATAAAGTTTTAGAAAAAAAATAACACTATCTATAACGCTAAACTGGTTTCATTAAATGTAACATTAAATATATTTTAATATTTTTTGTTTTGGGTCAAAAATATTACTATATCTCTACTATTTTAAAATTTCGTATCGGTGGCGGTGACTCCAACCCTGGCAGATACGCGGAGTACGAGCCATCGGATCGCTAAATCCAACGGCGCAACGTTCCCCACCCAACTCCTCGGCTCATCCTCACGCATCGGGGGGTAGCGCCCGCATCCATCGCATCCACCGCCGCGGCCGCATCCATCGCATCCACCGCCGTCGCCCATCCCCGTCCTCCCCCACCGCGTCGCCGATACAGCGCCGCCATTGCCGTCGCTCCCCCACCGCGTCGCTCCCCCACCACGCCGCCGACCCCAGCGCCGCCATCGCCGTCGCTCCCCCACCACGCCGTCAACCCCAGTGCCGCCATCGCCGACCTCCTCCACCGCGTCGCCCATCGCCGTCCTCCCCCACCGCGTCGCCGACACAGCGTCCTCCCCGCCCCCCCATTTTAGTCCATCGTCGTCTCGCCGTTCAGCCACCGCTCTGCCGCTGAGGCCACCGGCATACGTCGATTCATCACCGTCAGGTCGCCATCCATCTCGCCTCCTCGTCGTGCCCTCCATTCGTCGCACCGCAAACATCCACGGTGAGATCCTCTGGATCCCGCGGTCTCCGATCCGCCACTGGCCGCCGCCCCGATCTCATACGCGACTCCCTTGCCATGTTCGTCTTCGCCCGACTCCGCCTCACACTCCGTCGACGACAACCACGCCTCCTCATCCGCCATTGACCGCCGTCCCCCTTCTCTCCACCGCGCCGCCGTCCTCGCAGCCCTCTCCGCCCACGCCATCCGCCACTGACCGCCGCCTCCTTCCTTTCTGATCTCCATTCCTTGAGTCTAATCCCCATTCTCTGATTTTTTTTCTTTGTTATTTGCGTGTGTGCAGGACAGCGGGAACGAGACTACGAGAGTCTAACAATGGTAGAGCACCTTGCAGACTGGATAGATTGATGGTAATGCCTCGTCCAATAATTAGTACATCTTTATTCACTGCAAATTGCAAATTTATATCCCGGTTCCTCCCCTCCCAAACGTGAATGCACCGAAATCCCCATCTCTTTATACACTATCATGAGCTGGCATTTTAACTATAATGTACACTTTCTACCGTTGCATTGAGTAGTATTGCCTTCAGCTATGCATCGAAAGCAGTTACGATCTAGACATCCAGTGTTCAATCAGTAAAATTTATTAGGGTAGCAAAACCTTGATAAAAAATTTGGATGTCGTTAGGTTTAGAACCTTTAGGATTTAAGTTTTGATATTAGTTGTGGTCTTTTTATTACTGTGATATGAGTTTAGATCATTTTATTTGTCAGATAAAGTTAGCAAAGAAAACTGGGATTAGCTCAATTTTTTTTTTGGCATAGTGTAGGTGCTGATCTGATGATGAGCTAAGAACAAACTGAAGGTACTGAGATCTGAGGGATTAACCTGTTTCAAAGAAAACTGGGATTAGCTCAATTTTTTTTGGCACAGTGTAGGTGCTGATCTGATGATGCGCTAAGAACAAACTGAAGGTACTGAGATCTGGGGGATTAACCTGTTTCTGATCTGATGATGTCTATGTTAAACGAGAGTATTTTCCCTTCTCAGGCATAACTGACTTTTTTTGTTCGTTTGATCGTACTAAAATTAGTATTTTCCTTTCTCAGGCATAACTGAACTTTTTGTTAGTTTGATCTTACTAAAATTGGAGGCAAATCCAACACCCATGCACAAAAATAAATAAATTAATTTTAAAGAATATATGAGACAACATCATAGTTTTCAGTTTGTTGTTTTCTTAGGAAAAAAAATACATGTATGAAGAATCTGAATTCTGATATAATGCTACTACTAGAGCCTGGAGAAACTCTAGCCATATTCTAATTCTTCTTTCTTTCTCTTTTTTTTTTTACATCCTTCAAATTGTCATAGTTCGATTTCCATGAGCCTGTAAGCATTGGAGGCGACGAAATGGCAGTTGGTAGAGCATAAGCATGAACAGTGGCAGACATATAAAATTTGTCCTAATGAATTTTCCTACTACAGTTTTAAAACAATCGATATTTGACAAAATATTTATGTGTTCCATCTTGCATATTAGAACAAGCTATTTGATCCATTTGTGTTCTCCATTTTATTGAAATTCAGGGTATCGTTGGTGAGGTGTAACTTGCCAAGGACTGCATCTTCATCATTGCCTGGGTGTCCACCTCGCTGATCTCGTCCACGCCACCATAACTCCATCAGCAAGCCTCACTGATCTGCTCCGCTTCGCCTCCGGGACTCCATCCCCTGCTTCTCTGATCTGGGACGCCGACGAGCCATGGACTCCTGCATCGAAGCACTGCCACCTCCTCCGCCTTGAGCATCACTGTCGCCATGAGGTCATTGAATGCCCATGCCCCCTTTTGCAAATACCTACTTGTTTTTCAAGTTTATGTTGAATGAAGCTATCAGTTCTCTTTCTGTTCGATTTGCCACCACTATTTGATAACCTAGGAATGGCAGGTAATGCCAATGCTCCCAGGTTGCATTGCTCTGTTTTTTTCCTAGAAGATAGAGTATTATATGTTGCTTCACTGAAATAGTAGGTCTGGCCATTATTACCATGCACCCGCTCAAAATAGCATGTCTGATCTGGGGCCTGGGTGCATATCCAAGTCACTATCGATCGCCTGCTGTCCGGTCTCCGTCGCCCCTTCATCAGGTTGACGTCGATGCGTCGCCAACGCTGCGCCTTGCTGCAGTACACTCTGGTATTGTAGCCCATCCTCTTTCACGTTTATACATTCTCTCTTTGAAGTTGAAGGAAAGTAAATTACAATTTTCTGTGTATACGTTGCATTTTTCCTTAGAGATGGTATATGCTGCTTTATTTCCTATAGGGGTATATACTGAATTTTATACAGCAGTATATGCTGTAATTTTCCATAGAGGTATGTACTGACATTATAGTATACATATGCTTCTATTTTCCATAGGGAGGTATGTAATGATATTACAGTATATGCTAAATTTTCTATAGAGATACTAGGATTTGGGAAAATCGGTGACACACAGGTATTTCATTAAGCGCCTCATGATCTGGTTTGGTCTGCTTATGATATCAGCAGGGAATCACTAATTTATAAGAGCTTGGTGATGTTACTAATTTAACTGCACATGTGTAACACCCTAAAAAGAAAAAAAAAAGAAAAAGCTAGCTAGCAGCCAGCCCAGCAGCAGCAGGCCATGGGCCTTGGCCCATGCATGCACGCGTGCAGCAAGCAAGCGAGCAGTAGCGGCAGCTTGTAGCCAGCTTAGTACCACCTCGGCTAGCTAGCTCTATCTACACTAGCTTAAATAGGAGATATTACCGGTGACTGTAAACTCCGATTCCGGAATTTTTGCGACCAATGCCGTTTTCGGGCCCTGGGCTGTCACAACATGTTATGTCCTTTTTGTATTTATTGGGATCAATTGTTTCCGGTATGCAAGGTTTATGGTTCTTTAGGGTGCTGAGATATTGTACACCCCATGATAATTTGCCCAGACTTCCATGAACACTGGAGGTGTGTCATGCAAGGCCATGTTGGTGCTAGCTTGGTATTGCCATTTGAGAAAAAGTTGTTTGAAACGATCTACTCTAAAGGATACAATGGACCTGTGAAGAAGAGAAGCATCCTTTTCAATTTGCCATACTGAGGATTTTTCTTTTCATGACAATCTTGACTTGATACATATGATCGTGCAAAATAACATTTTGTCATGCACTTTTAGGTCGGTCAGAACATGGCAAATCATTTCACATATAGCTATTTCCCCTCGGTTGCCAGCTACCAGCTACCAAAGCATCACCAACCTTCAAGTGCAGAATAGGCAAATTACATGGCATTGTTCTATTTTATGTTAAATATTAGTGACACATGTTACAAAATCCTGAGTTAATTTTTTTAAACCTACTAGGTGTTACCACAATATATATTGATGTATTCTCATTAAGAACAATGTATATATATTATTCCTCTAATGTAAAGATATTGTTGTTTATCTATTCAATGAATTTCTGGTATTTATTTAATTTTTATGTTGTGTGGGAAAAAACTGAACCTCAAAAAACAAATGGGGCTTAGTTATTTCTTGCCAACATAGATATCATGTGCATTATTGTACTCTGGTTGCTTGCATGCTCTGAAGTGTGGTGTTTTCATTTTCGACTTCAGTGGAAAATACAATGAATCTTGATTTCTGTCAAAACTGGAAATGGACTGTCCTGTTTGTCCGCACTGCAAAATGTTCGGTTTAACCAAGATGTAATGCAGAACATTGACAAATTTCAATAGTTGCATAAACTGTCTACGCTCGATTACATTTGCAATATGAAATTTTACTGTAGCGTTAGCACGGGCACATTACTAGTATTTATATAAATTTGATCAGACTTTAAAAAAATTCAACTTGAGGAAAAGTCAAAATGATTTATAATAAATGTATAACGGAAACAGTGGCTGGAACACATGCCAACAGTACTCAACCATCCAAAGTTCAAACCCACCTGCTGATAGTCGACCGAATTCAACATCTTACTATGTAGCCAAAGCTGACCGAACTATTTCAGTGCATCATAGTGTTATTTTGTTTTGTTCGGTTATTAACTGAGTACTCACTTTGTCATAAAATGAATCAACTTACTTAGTTCTAGCAATAGTAGTAGCATTAACTTACAAAACATCAACATATATATAGCCATAAACGTCAGGTTCTCAGCATCTCTCAACAGCAAATGGCAACAGTAGAGCACACATGGCGCTCAAACCTCTACAAACTACCTCAATCCGATGCTCACAACCCAGTAAGTAACAATGACAGACAAGACACTTCTCCAAGAACGCAAAATAAACTTTGGTAGGTTCAGAAAAGGTTATACAGACTACCAGACAGATCCATACTCCCTACTAGACATCAGTAATCTTATAGATTACCAGTCTACCAGTACATATAACTAAATAAGTCTTGCAGGCAGATTTTCAGTTAAGCACGAGTTCAACTCAGCTGAACAAAAAAATTATAATCTATATAACAAGAAAGAACTGCTTGAGATGTAACAGCTTCCCCCATATAAATCTTCATACTACATATCACCTTAACACGCGGAAGTCACCGATACGCTCAAACAATTTTCTGCGCTGTCGATGCTTCAAGGCAGCTGTCCAAACAACATTCACCTGCAGTTCATAGGGACCTTGCTCAAGGACACATTCTTCATCATTGTGTCCAAGAACGAGCTCAAAGATTGAGCCAGCTCCTTCAGAAACACAGACATTGAGCACCAGTTCATCATCCAAATTGACGGCTACGAAACAGCGAGTCAGATCGACTGATCCATCAGCTCCAAGAACTCTGTTCCTGCCTTCCACTTCACTGTCATACAGGATGATTTTGTTCTGATCATCTCCAGTAGTCCAAGCAGTCACTTTGCCAGTGAAAAACTTGGATACAACCCCCTTAATTTTGACTGCAACAGAAGCTTCCACAGCTAATTGAACAGGACTATACACAAAATCAATTCTACTCAGGCAGCTCTCTAGCGATAAAGTCATCGGCTGCTTTGTATAGCAGATGGCATTGTGTTCTCGCACACCTTTGCAGAAATCTTTGTCGACATCACCGTCTCTAATCTTCAAATTGAACTCGAAATACATTTTGTCTATTGCACCCAGCGCTCGATTAGGTCCTGTCAGAGTTAGTGTGTCCTCCTATAAATAGATTAGGGAAAATCATGTCAGAAATGCCACCAGAAACACTAGGCTCGATAAGTCAAATACAGTTCAGACAGTGCCAACAATATGTTAAGAGAAATTTGGGTACATAATACATACAGATAATAATTTTAGGTCTATGAAGTTATGAACAGCCTGTGAATTGCATTTCAAACTCCCATGTTCAAATGAGCAACATGCCAATATAAATTCTTTTGTTTCCACTTTTTTCCAGTACAAAACGTACATGATCCCAGAGCACTACCGTTGCACTGGATTAACAAAATAGTATAACAGGTAAAAGTACCAGGATCTTGGGATATAGAAACTAAATAAGTAAATCAAATCTCACAAAAAAAAGGGGAAGTCATGGATTGATTGATGTTCCAACAGTAACTGTCCTGACCCTCTTAGACAGCAGGAATGGACTACCAGGCAATCAGATTCAGTGGATATATGATATTGACAGCAAGGTTTAAGATCTGGCAGTAGGGATTTTAATGGCCAGGAAACAGGATTTCTATCGTATCAGGCATTTCACCAGCCATTATGGAACTATGCAACCGTCCACATTTCACTTAACAATGTGAGCCTAATTAACAGGTCATTTATAGTGTAGAATATCAGACAGCGGATTGAAAAGGCAATGGCATATGGATTTGAACAATAAATAGTATTAATCTAGCAAGGAGGAGGAACGAATCAGTAACATACCGGCGAGGTGATGATCTGTGGATTGTTCCTGTCACGCCTGAACAAATAGACACACCTGAAATCGTACTCATCCCTGGCCAGCACAGTGCCAAATACCCTGATAGGGTAACCCACATCAGACTCGGCCACCTTGATTGCAATCACATTGACAGAGTCCATCTCCCACCAGTAGTCGGGGAAAGCTAGTGACTTGATAGGTGGTCCACGTGCAAGCTTTGCTGCAAAATCAAGCCAGAGACATAAATCAAACCAGGAAAGTAAATTTTTTTAAGACATGTACAATAATCAAAGAATGAACAAGGAACAAGGATGATATTATAACAAACAAATGGATGGATGTACTCACACTCTTTGTCCAGGTCAAAGAAGGCTATGTTGTAGGCACAAAATCGAGTAGGAATTGAGCAAAACTGCTTGGGGTTATATTCGGTGATCTCTCGGCGTCGAACTATGTTTAGAACTTCAACCACCTTCTCATCCCATGTGAGCTCTGGTTCACTGTCCAGCTCCCAATTCTCCTCCTCCTTCAGAGGAGCCACATCACTTTGCTTGGCATCATCCTTAGCACACGGTTCATCAGAATCATCCCCATTCTTGTCAATGCCAAATATACTAGCGTGTTCTCCGGCCTGGCAGCCGGCCATAGCTGCAAAACAAGCAAAGTTTTGGTTTTGATGTTTCCCATCCAACAAACAAGAAAAAAAAACCAATTAAGAGGGATATACTGACTGACGCAAACGAGTGAACAAAGCAGAACAGATGTACATGAATGATGAATGATCGATCGATTAGTTGTGGATTATATATACACTCACATGAGTAATCTTTCTCCGAGTCTATGAGGCTGCAATCACGCTCGGCAGGTTGGCATGCGGGGTGCTGTTGGGACCCGACAATATCAAGAACTGTCAACGCCTTCTCTTCCCATGTGAGCTCCCGCTTACGCTTGCCTGCAACAATTATTGGAAGATTCAGTCCGCCGCCGACGTCGTCGATTACCATACCGCTCCGCTCGCTTTCATCCGCCATCTTGACGCCCATGAAGAAGAAGAACACAGAAAGAAAGGGACACAGGTAAGATTAGGTGGCCATACAATGCGATTTCGTCGAAGAATCGGAAGAAAGAATCGAGGCGATCGAAGAGTGTACCGTAGACGTGTTCGCTGGCAACCCTGATCGAGAACCCGTCCTGTCGCCGCCGGAGGGGAGAGAGCCTTAGGGTTTTCTCTTTCTTTTTCTCCGATTATGAAGAGGCTAGGGTTTGTTTGGTGAGGACGAAGAAGAGTCCCCACACGGACGGACGAGGAGTAAGTTACCTGATGGTGATGGGCCTTTTTCTTTGGAAAAGACTTAACCTGATGGCCCTATAGTTGTATTGTACTATAGTAGTAGTAAGGAATAAGTCTACCTTGCCTCCCTCGACTCATATACCCCTGTCTAAATCTCATCCCTCAACCACATAACCGGATATAAACCGTTCTCCAACTTCCAAAACCATTGCAAACCGACTCCTCGGGTGGTTTGGGTTGGGAGGTGGTTTCGTCCGGCGTGTCATTTTGGACCCGTTGACTGGCTGAGTCAGCGCGTGGGCCCCACATGTCAGTGTCTTGTAGGGAAGGTGCTGAGTCAGCTTGGCTTGGTGGTGGTGCGCGGCGGTGGCCATGGGCATGGTAATTGGCCTCGTCCTGCTCGCCTTGCTCCTCCTCACCTCGCAGCGTCATGGTGTCCTCGCTGAACTGGACCACGCGCAGCCTTCCTCCATGGCCATGAGACGAATGCCAGAGCGGCGGAGCTCGTTCGCCGTCCGGATCCTCGACGTCTTGCCGCCTTTCACCCCTCCGCCCCCAGTGGCGGCTCCCTCCGACGGCGGCACAAGGCTGGCATGCAGGCAATCCAGGAGCGTGAGCTCGTAGGAGATGGTGGCGCCGGTTTTCTTGGCCTGTTCGTCGTCCTTGGGCGGCGCCACTGCCGTGGCGGCGGCCTGCTTGGAGAAGAACGACGAGTAGTACCAGCAGAATGAGCGGATCACGTCGTCGAAGTCCGCACGCTGGAATCCTAGCTTGATCGCATCCCTGACGATGTCCTGCATGCGCATCGCCTTGAAGCTCTCGTCGACAGCGCGACGGCTGGCAGCGGCGGCGGCGCCCACGCGTTGCCTTTGACGACGGCTTCGAGAACCTCCACGGCCTCGGCAGGGACGAATGAAAATCGATTCGTTGGTGTCATAGCGTGTCTATCGGTGTCATAGTACACTAATTATACTTAGATCATAGTGTAATAACATATGGATAAACAGTTTTGCCTTAGGTTTTGCCGAAAGTTATTGGTGTCACCTGACACCAGCCTTATTACTGTAGCTCCGCCCGTGGGCCTCGGCGTCCGTCAATGGCTAGGAGCTCCTCCCCGCGCACGGCTGGCCGTCGAGCTCCTTCCTCGCGTGCTGCCGACCGACGAATCTCCTCCCCACGCGCGCCGCGGCCGGCGGACGAGCTCCTCCCCTCCTCTCTGCTGATGGAAGGTGACAAGAAGAGGAAGAGTTAAGAGAGAGAGAGGGGGGGAGGTGTGGGAGAAGATGGGATGAGATATAGGCTGTTGACAAGTGGGTCCCACTTGATGACTCAGCAAGTTAATTGCCATGTCAAACAAAACTGCCTCCGAAACCGTCCGAGAAGTCGATTTGCAATGGTTTTGACCGTTGGAGGACGGGTTATATCCGGTTTTGCGGTTGAGGGATGCAATTCAACTAGGAGCATGAGTTGAGGGAGGCAAAGTAGACTTATTACTTATAGTAATCTTGAGAGCCTAATTGGTTACCCATATATCCTACTACTAATAAATCAAAACGGTTTATTAAGAAATAAAAACTAAATTATAGATAATTTTTTATATATTTGTTCATAATGATCTAAAAGCCAATGCTAAAAATAAATGACGTTGAAAATGTCTTAAAATCAACTTTAAATTCAAGTTTAAAAGTTCAAATTTTGGCTTTTGTTTTGGCTTATCAAGCCAATCAATGGGGCTCTTTCATAGCCTGGATTTATACACGTTTTTCCAATATAATTTATAATTGAATGGCACATATATTTCCATGAAAAAAATGCTCCTTTAATTTGTAGCTTTATGATAGTTTTACAAAAATATCTATAGTTACTAGTACAAATTCTAGCGTTGTCACAGAAAACTAAACGTTTAACACCGACAGGTTATCAAGCCATACTATTGCAAACTACAGATTTTTGACACCTAATTTATCACGAAACAACATAGTTAGAGGTTCCATCCTAGTATTTTTATCATGATGGAACTTGTAAATATGTAGCTTTGTGATGAAGTCAATGATTAATCAGTAGTTTTGTGATAAATTTAATAATAAATATATTTTTCACAAAAGTTAAAATATGTAGTTTTATGATAAATTCAATGCTAAATTTATATATTTTTTTATAATAAAACATATAAAATATCTAGTCTTGGGATAGTTTACTTAAAGTATTTGTAGTTCTGTGAATTTACTATTTTTAGAAAATAAAAAAAATATACTAGGATATATTAGCTCTAAGAACAGGGTACAAGGTTAAGTGACAACATTTTACACTTTCTCAGGAGGTTGTCTACATAAATCCTGAACAATAAAACAGTGAAAACCTGAAGCTGCACAACAGGCATGAAAATGGCTTGCATAGCAGTTAAAACAGAGAGCATTTGCCAAACAGGGCTTAAAACTCCTGTTCAAAAACTGAAAAACAAAAAAGAGAGAGGGAGAGAGACTAAACTGAACCCCCACCCACACAATCCTTGTACAGATTTTGGTCCTCTGCAGAGACCAAAGACTTTCCATATACAGCTGTGGATATAGTTACTAGTTCCAACTTCCTTGGAGTAGTGCCTAGGGAGGGACTTATTTAGTCCCTCTCACCCAAACACCTCCTTATTCAACACAAACATTCCATGTACTACTCCCTTGTTCCTTGCCCTTTAGTGCCTAGGGCAGTCCTATTGTCAGTTAGACATATCACTTCCCATTTCAGCTCGAACTTCCATTCATGGCACTTGAGGTTTCTACCCTCTTCATGGTTGGAACTTTCATGGTAGAAACACCTCGGTCGTCACCATCTCAATTAGCTTTGGCCCATCCAGAAATTATCTTCTTCTTTCTCCTGGAAACATGAACCATTACTGCAGTTATCTAAATGGATCAAATCACAGTAGCTAACCCCCCTCCCCTGGGGCACGTCAATCATCGTTTTTTCTAGTTTTTCCTTCAATTTTGGTCACTCAAACTTCAAACAGATGTTGAACTGAAGATGATCTGTCATTACTATTAAAAAGTAACAAACTTATATCACAATAGTCTAGGTAAAACACAAGAGTAAAAGAAAACATCTAATTGATCTATGCTCTCTCCTTCTCACATATCCACAAAAGAATATTTTTAGTTACAATGGAACAAATCATCACCAACTAAAGAAAAAGCTCAATTTTAAGGGGGATTTCCATGTCCACAAAGTTTATTGAAAAAAAACCCCATAGATTTCACCTTTCTGATTCCATAGAGGAACTTTACTGTAAAATTCTTTCTGGAGTTCAACCTAAGACCAGCCTATCTGACAATATTCAAATTTACTGACCCACACTGCCACATATATCTCGGATCTGTTTCCACATCTGCAAAGTTTTATGTGCTAGATATCTTCTAAATTTGATTCTACGTAACATGCAATTAAAAAACTTCAGCAACCAAAGTCTGCTTGATGAAGGTCAAATTGTAAAGTTTCTGGGCCCAGCCACAAGTCCTCCCAAAATCTTGTGCTCTTAGGAACTCACAACTTACAGTAATTAAAAAGAAGTTTGAATCAACCTCCATAACTCCGTAAATAAACGGCTTCAAGGTTTTCTGGTAAGTATCTATTAAGTAACTATAAGACATTGTCACCATTCTTACTTAACCTCCAAAACTGATAACTCCATTAAAAAAACGGCAACAATGTGTTCTGCTAAGTATCTATTATCAATCAGGCATTGCCACAATTCTTCCCCATTCATTAAGTTGCAAAGTGATCATTTACTTCACAAGACACAATTCATCTATCAAGGTCCAGAAGATAAAAAAACACCAGTTTGTTTGTCCTTGGGCAAAAAAAAATAGTAGGCCGCAAAATATTTTCGTAAATGAATCTATCTTGTTCTTAACCCCTACAGGCAATTTGTAGAAGGAAAGCATATAAAGTGGTGTGCTACATGACCAGAATGGTCAGAACATATGCATGTACTAACTGGCCAGAGAAAAGCATAGAAGTTATAGATAACTTAAGACATTCTTTTATGGAACTGAAGTAAAGACATTAGGGAAGGCCAATGTCTAGAGGCATGGAGCATATTGTTGCCATGCAAAGAGAACAAGTAAGACTAAGTATAAGAGATCTAAGCATGCACAACATTGGCTTTTCTTCACATGTAAAATGTTTTCAGGAGAAACAGGGGGCCATACTACTTCTGGCTCAGAAACAACTACATACAAAACCACATTTCGCTGCAACCAAGAAACACCAACATGGAAGCATGTCCCCACTGCTCCTAATCTGAAAAATGGCTGCAACAAAAGTAACAGTGGGCTACGGTCACGGAGATTACTGAACAAATCCGGGCAAAGTATACACTGGTGTCTCAACATTATTCACTTATGCTATGATTCCAAACTGCACAGCTTCATCACAGCTCAAAGGAGATATTCAACCACACCCGGGTATTATACCAACAAGCACATTGTCAACTCCAGATACTACAAAAGTACAAATCACCCTACTTAATCAACACATAGAGCCAGGCACAGCAGATGAGCGAGACATGCATGTTATTCACTTCCCCCAGCAATTACTGTACAACATATAGACTGCTAATAGAACAACATAAACAGCAGCAGGGGACATCTGGATAAAAGCTATCTACAATACTTGCGCATGTTCCTCTAGCTAGATATCAGGAACAAACAGAACACAGAGGCAAATATGGCAACTAAAAAAAATGGTTTTAGATCCACACAGACAATGCAGTGTCCTTCTCTACAAAGAAACAGCTGATCGCAAATTAAGCGCTATGCAAGCTCACTGAAAGGTAATAGCACAAAACAGGCTCGCTTACTCATGTCTTACCGAAGCCAACAACTCATAAATTAATAACATGGGGGCGGCAGAATTAATCTGCGATCCTCAGCTCCTACGTAGAATTAATGCAAATACAACCCCCCCCCCCAAAAAAAAAAAAATACACGCATACAAATCAAATCGGGTGGTCGTGTTAGCACAATCGTTCCAACTAAGACACAACCAGTAACAAGGAGTAGATCGAGATCAGAGAGTAGCATTCACTAGCTAGAGATATGGATAATTTAGTCATGGTTGGCGTACTCGAACTCACTCACATACTGGCGTTGAATGAATGGACGGCTGCGCGAGAGGCTGGAGCTGGATGGAGGTAAGTGCCCAAGAGTCCCGGAGAACGGCCAGCCGGCGCGCGGCCCGGGTGGGGCGTCGACGGCGACATCCCCGGCGGCGAGGGTTTGGTACTTTGGAACTCTCTATGTGTGTGTGTGTCTCTCTCGCTCTCTAACTCTCTCTCTTAGGAGGAGGAGTACTATACGACAAAAAAGAAAACAAAAAGTGGAACCCGAGGGAGGAACAATAGAAAAATATTAAAGAAATATAAGACCTGTCGACCTGATCACCTGACCACCCAGAAATGCCTCTCTTCTCCCAAGTCTCCATTGCTCAAGAGCTCCGCCCCCGCCGCGCGCCTCCGCCTACTCCTCCTCTCCAGTGATACATACGTCCGCCATGACTGCGAGGAGGAGGAGGGAGATGTCCAAGTAGGAGAAGCCTTGGCCACCGGCAAGATACATTGTCCTTCTGCTCCGATCCTCTGCTTCAAAAACCCTTCAACCCCCACCTGCTCGCTTCAAAACCCCCTTCCAAGAACAAGAAAAGCATCTTCTATGAATCGCCATGGCCCCAAAGAAAGAACAGCCAGTGAAGGAGGTACGGAATCTCAACACTCCTTATTCCTGTTTGTGTGTCGTGCGCCATGACTTTGGTTCTTCAAAGATCATGGGGATTTCAAATGAAAAAAATGATCTTTTTTTTTTCCTCTCCTTGCTTGTTGTTTCTTGTCAAGCCCCCTGCATCAGATGAATTCGATCTCGTGCTGAATGATTTGCCTGAAAGCTACAAGAAGCTCATGGAGGACGCCATTCCAACAAGATTAGAACAGATAATCATACAGGAAGCTCCGTCCAATAGCAAAGGCAAAAAGCTCTTCTCCAAGGTTGCTGAGAGACTCTACACGCCCAAAGGTGGGACTTTTCTGGTGAAGTTGAAGCCGACCAAGAGCAGTCCAGATGAGGAAATCGTAACACTCCTGTTCCGATGGAAAGACCTCTACTTTGAGGCCTTTCATGCTAAAGGTAAGATTCTTTGCTAAATGCAAATGCATTTCCATTCTTGATAATTAAGGGAGGATCAGAGATTGATGCTAGCTGCTTACAGAGGAGGAGAAGGTTGTGTTTGTGGCCTGTGGGACGCCGGAAGGGAATGATAGGATAGAGAGGGAGAAAATATGAACATTGGGGTTTGCAGCACCTTATGTGCCAACTGTTCACAACACGAAAAACTCTTGCTGTGGCAACTGAATCTGTGATATCTGCAATATTTGACATGATAAGTTTTATCAAGAGTAATTTTTTAGATAAGGAAGATATTTAAAATTATCATTTGTAATCCAAAGCTAGACTTAGATCATGCCTAGCTAGATCATTAACATGCGCATGTTCACACGCATTTTTTTCCTTGTCCTAGTATGCCTTATGATGTATTCTGATAAGAAAAATCACCATGTTAACACTTATGTAGCACAATTTCCTGTGGGTTAAGAATCAATACACCATCGTATCGTTGCATGTTGTTATTATGAATACAATCTGTAATTTCACATCATACACTAAATCTATTTTGTAACTTCACATCAAAATTTTAATCTATTATGTGTTATAACTAGCTAAAATTTTGTGAGGGGGGATGAGAACTCTAAAGAGATGAACTTTGCCTTGCTTCTATGGTTTTGAAAGTGTGAGAACATGTTTACAAATGTAAAATACAGAATGCCATGCAATGCAACTACTCAAATAGACCAACAGTTTGGGTTTTTCCATCCATGGAATTTTGTTGCCCTTCATGCACATTAACTGCACTACAAATTAGCATGTATTCTGATAGTTCTACATATTGCTACAGTTTTTTTCCCCTTATAGTATATATCGTTCTGTACTTCTTTTGTATACATTAGCATGTTTCAAAATCACTAGCTACTTGCTTCAGTTGGTTTTCGCACAATATTACCGATGATTATATTATCAACAACTGCTTAACTAGACTACAAAACATGCACTTCTAGTAGTTGCCTTTTTCTGCTGTTGTTTTATTGCATTAGGATAAAAACAGTCTGACATGCATGTATTTTCTTTTCCAAAATCCAGACTTGCTTTTAATTGGTTGGTGGTAGCATATTAGCATCAGTTAGAAGGGTGCACATACCTGCCCAATGAGGGTGCACATACCTGCCCAATGTGTACTGTGAATATTCCTCTGCATCCTGTACCACCAGTTTAACTAGCTCACAAGTCGGTGGTTATTATCTTAGCTTCTACTAGTAGATACCAGCATGCATGTGTTCCCCAATTATAATGTACTATGTTGTCTTCTTACTGTGACAGGAAAATGGTATAGGATGAGCGACGCTGAAGAGAGTCTGCCTCCGCGTTCTCAACTGCACTACTCCAAGAAGGAGAAGGAAGGGGTATTTAATATGAACAATATTAGCACAAGTTATAATGATGTAGGTGGCCATAACATTGAAGTAGGCAGAAGGGCATTCAAGAATTGTCACCAATCCCTACTCATGGCAGAAGAGTTGGTCAGACAGAAGCGCCTGAAGGAAGAACTTGGGTCAGGCCCATTGAGTCTGCCGGTCGTGACCATCTCAGAATCCATCCGCTTCCCGCTCTTGCAGCGATGGGTTTTAGGCACTTTCTCTGCACCTCCTACAGCTAAGTCTGAGAAGAAGGTTCCTAAGAAATTTTCCTGTGAGTTCAACGAATGGGGCAAGTACTCTCGTGCTTTGTTCACACAGGAGCTTCCAGTTGGCTGTGAACTAACTTTTGCTCAGATTGCTGAAAAACTGCGGGTACTCAAGTACAGAGCGGCATGGGTGCCTCAACCAGCACAGAAGCATGTCAAGGACGTGTAACTGGAGTAGCTGGAGACCAGCTGATCTTTTCGCGTGGAGAAACCCTACATGCCATTTTGGACATTCTGTTTGTGTAGGAGTCCTGGAGTAGCTAAGTTGGTCTTAATTAATATGTTTCAGTTAGCCATATGCTGGTATCTCTGTTCTTTTGACAAGACATGTACATTGATATCAGTCATTTTTGTAAGGATCTTTCCCCCCTCTCCCTCTATATATATCTCCTGATGATCATTGCAAACCAACATCATCAGCAATATACATATTCTGGGAATTGAGATTCTACTATATTCTTCCATGGGGCTTTTAGCCAACTCGTGGTAGTTAATCTTTATTACCTCCGTGGAGAATGTGCTTGTTCAAAAAAGAATCTTCACTTATGTCGACTGAGCAAAAGTTTGCAATGCATGAACGAATACGTAACCTGGGTCTTATGCATGATGATTATTTAATGTACAGTAGTTAGACTAACGTCATTAGTTTAAACAAGGGGAGTAATAATAAATAAGCACACTACTGCTAGTACGTGACGTAGGCTGTCTACTTGTCTAGTCTAATTCAACCCGGGCACTTCGCTTCAGTCTTCACCACGTATCTAGCTAAACCATTCCCAAAATTTTATCATATCGCAGTATAACTTGCGGCGAAAAATGCCGGAAAAACGCTCAAAACATTTATTTACTCTTTTTTTCTTCAAAACGAAATGGGTGTGGTAGAGTCAGAGACCATAACGATATCAATACTATCAAAACATCTTAAAATACCAGAAACGGAATTATCGGAATAGAGCCTCGGAAACAACGATATTTGAATACATCCTAATCCTAACGATATTAGGGGTGTAAAGTTTTGGCGTGTCACATCGGATATTATATAGGGTGTCGCGTGGGATGTTCGGGCACTAATAAAAAAATAATTACATAATCCGTCAGTAAACCGCGATACCAATTTATTAAGCCTAATTAACACGCCATTAGCAAATGTTTACTGTAGCACCACATTATTAAATTATGTATGTCGACGTTTGATGTCGCGATTCCGGTATTTGCATGGTATAGGGATCGTTGGTACTAGGATATACGCAAGACTGAGGTAAAAGAGATGGAGACAGTGATTTTTATACAAGTTCTGGCCCCTAAATTGTCAGGTAATAACCCTACATCCCGTTGACCGAAGCCGGTATTGCTCTTATTCACCATAATCACACCAGTACAATATTTGGGGTAGCCTATCTAACTGTTGTCGACATAGCGGGACTGGAGTATCATCACGTAGTCGACAACAGGGTAGTCTTCCTCCTCGAATCAGTGCCCGACGAGATCAGAGATAGCACTAGATCCCTATGGCCGGCCTCTGTAGGTACCGGATAGGGTCAATCCAGGCATATCTCTGATGTCGATATCCGGCGACTTGTCTTGGCGTATGTTGGCTTGTATTGGCTTGTGGCTTTGTGGCGTCTATATTGTCCGTCTCCCCTCTCCTCCTAGGGGGTCTTGTATTTATACCCATATGTGTCCCCTTGTCCAAGTAGAACTAGGGAGACCAATATGGATACAATCTAAGTAGTCCTTATCGTTTCCATGTAGAACTCTGGTTGTCTTTTCTTATCCGGAACTTCATCCATATCTGAGGTCAATGTCCATACAAGACATGGTATGTGGTGGGTCCTGCCAAGATCTAGTCAACTGCTATTAGGTATGTGGTATCCATAACCGTGACAATGTAGCAATTAGGCTTAAAATATTTGTCTCACAAATTAGTCACAATTTGTGCAACTAGTTATTTTAATACTTTATACAGGTGTTTAAACATTCGATGTGACATTGTATAAAATTTTAGGATGGGATCTAAATCCTTAATGCATCGACAATTAGAACACACAAGATTTATAGTTAATTCTTTGTATATCTTGATGGGTTATCGATTTTATACAGTAATTTCTCCGGAAATTCCACAAAATGGTATACCGTTAAAACGGTCAGAAAAACACCTATACATCGTTACCTTTTCACTTCCGGGCAATCCAAAATTAAACAGTCCGCAGAAACAAATTAAACAGTCCGTATAAAACGGAATTGATGGTCGATACGGTCGGGGGCTTTTATACCGTTCTCATCCCTTACTACAGTTGAGTCAGACCCCAAACTTTTTGATATAATAACGGTCAATAATGTTTCTCTTCTGGGATAACTGGGTAAGATTGTCAATGATATATAAAAATCTATCTAGTTCTTTGGCATGTTAAGATTGTGCATACTAATCTAAATGATCATAAAGACATTTAGATAAAATCTTCATCACAATAGTATTTTTTGGGTCCATTTTATGTATTTAGCCTTGCTAAACAATGGTTATATAGTGAAAAATAAGGTTATGTGGAAGTTGAAGATGTTAGAATAATTGGGCTATGCCCAACTTATCCTATTAAATCTCAAAGGCCCATAATAAGTGTTAAGGATAATAATACCACCTCAGGATTTAAGCGAGGAATATCTCAACCTAAATAGGGAGTTATTGGAGGCTCCCTGTTGACCAGTTGAGGTGGGGGTCGGATTGCCACACGCGCGCGCCGGGCCGAGGCCGTGGGCGTGGGCTGGGCGAGGCGAGGCGTGGCGTGGCTGGCTGCGTGCATGCGTCACGTCACGTCACGTCGCTATCCTTTTGCAGCCACTAACCCACGTTCCCACGATTCCCTCCGCAACAGCGCATCCACGTTCTTTCTCCTGATAGATAAGGAGGCCGCGAGTGCGATCCGTTTTCATCGCTTCTTTTCCGGTGTTGGTTTCTCCTTCTCCGCCTGAGTTGCTCTCGCTTCCTCGCTTCTGATCTCTTGCGCGCACGAGAGATTGGAAGGAGCAGTGCCTCCGAAACCACACCTTCGCCTGAGATCTGCACCGGGTAGGCGGGTGATCAGGTTTTTGGGGAGTGCCTCCCACACGACTGCTCATCGCGATGTCTGGAGTTGCCGCCGCTGCTGGAGGAGATGGCGGAGGTGGTGCGCCGCCAACAGGAGCCGGAGCTAGTGCGCCAGGAGGAGGTGCCGTGAACGACAACAACAACGGAGGCAATTCTGCCTCACCATCCAGCGGAGGGCCATTCTCGGGGTATAATCTTCTCCTCCTGTTCCCATTGTTAGCGCTATTCCTGTTCCATTATTAGCGCTATCGCTATACTATGTGCGCTATGTTCTTGTTCCTGTTCTTCATGATGCCTCTATGCGTTACTGTTATGTTCCTGTTCCTGACATTCATGATGCGCATAGTATGCTACTGGTTATGTTAAGATCGCCCTACACTGCTTATGCCATGATTATTGCTTTAACATTTTGGATTAAAATATGCCGATTAATGACTATATTTCCAACAATCCAAAAACTTGATAGGTCATTTTCGGTAGTTGGCTTTGCTGCTGCACTGAAACCACATGCTTTTGATGGTTCAAACTATAAAAGATGGAAAGCACGTGCACTATTGTGGTTGACAGCGATGCAGTGCTTCTATGTTTCACGGGGCAAACGAAGTGAACCACCTCTTTCTCCTGAGGAAGAGGCTAAGTTCGAGGCTTCAGATTGCCTGTTCCGTGGAACATTGATCAGTGTACTCGCTGACAACATAGTGGACGTATACATGCACATGCCTTCTGGGAAGGACATGTGGGATGCTCTTGAGGCCAAGTTCGGAGTTTCTGACGCCGACAGTGAGCTATATGTCATGGAGCAGTTCTATGACTACAAGATGGTCGATGACCGTTCTGTAGTAGAACAAGCTCATGAGATTCAGATGCTGGTTAAGGAACTTGAGAACAACAACTGTGAGTTGCCGGACAAGTTTGTGGCGGGTGGCATTATTGCCAAACTACCACCTTCTTGGTCGGACTTTGCCACTTCTCTAAAGCACAAGAGACAAGAGTTCAGTGTTTCTGATCTCATTGGCTCTTTGGGTGTTGAGGAGAAGGCGAGGGCAAAGGACGTCCGGGGCAAAAAGGTTGAGGGAGGTTCTAGTGCCAATATGGTACAGAAGAAGAACCCTCATGCATCCCACGATAACAAGAAAGTTAAGCCTGATGTCAAATCCAAGGCTACAACCAATTTTAAGAAGAAAGACAAGGGAAAGGCAAAGGTAGACTGCTTTGTGTGTGACAAGTCTGGGCATTGGGCCAAGGACTGTCCTGAGCGCAAAGACAGAAAGTCTGCCAACATGGTCATTAGCGAGGGCGGAGGAACATCGGGGTACGGTAAAATATTATCTACAGTTCTCTCTGTTTTTCATTCACCTGATTGGTGGGTGGACACTGGTGCTAATATTCATGTATGTGCTGACATTTCTCTGTTTTCTTCTTACCAGGTCGGGAGAGGTTCCTCCTTGTTGATGGGAAACGGGTCGCTTGCGGCTGTTCATGGTGTTGGTATGGTCGATCTAAAGTTTACTTCGGGAAAGACCGTGCAGCTGAAGAACGTGCAGCATGTCCCTTCAATAAAGAAGAATCTAGTTAGCGGCTCTCTATTGTGTAGAGAAGGTTTTAGACTTGTGTTTAAGTCCAATAAATGTGTCGTACCTAAATATGGGACTTTTGTTGGAAAATGTTATGATAGCGGAGGCTTGTTCCGCTTTTCTTTGAATGACATGTGTAATAATCATAATGCTGTGAACCATATTAGCGAGAATGATTAGTCTAATGTGTGGCATTCGCGACTCTGTCATGTGAATTTCGGTTGTATGACGCGCTTAGCTAACCTGAGTTTAATTCCAAAATTCACTTTGGTCAAAGGTTCCAAGTGCCATACTTGCGTTCAATCGAAACAACCTCGCAAGCCTCACAAGGCATCTGAGGCGAGGAATTTGGCACCTCTAGAACTTGTTCATTCCGATTTGTGCGAAATGAACGGCGTGTTGACTAAAGGGGGAAAGAAATATTTCATGACACTGATAGATAATTGCACTAGATTTTGCTATGTGTATCTATTGAAAACAAAGGATGAGGCATTGTATTACTTTAAAATCTATAAAGCTGAGGTAGAAAACCAACTTGAAAGGAAAATCAAACGGTTGAGGTCTGATAGAGGTGGGGAGTATTTTTCCAATGAGTTTGCATCCTTTTGCGAAGAGTTTGGAATTATTCATGAGAGGACGCCTCCCTATTCACCCCAATCAAATGGGGTGGCCGAAAGAAAGAACCGTACTCTAACTGAGATGGGGTGAATGCT